GAACAGAAGGGGCTAGACACCCAGACGTGAGTGCAGGGGAGCAGAGCAAGAAAAAGCTCAGGGAGCACAGAGCCTCTGTTATTATTAGACCTTTCTCTGCATTTTTAAAAAGTGAAACGTCATAAACCCATACATTTTCACAATGCTTTTCCACTTAATACCTTATGAACTGGTCATGAAGATTTACTGCTACAACTTTATTTTTAATGGGCGCCAGGTGATCCATTGTTGAATTCATGGTTCAAGTTGGTTATTTAGCAAAAGCCTGTAATTTTGGACATTAGGGTCTTTCTAGTTCTTCACTCTTAAGATCCTTGCTGGATCAGAATATCCTCTCATCATGCTACCAAACACTCTTCTGTGTCACTGAGATAATCCTACATTTTTTTAAGATTTTATTTATTTATTTGAGAGAGAGTGAGAGCAAGAGCACAAGAGCGGAGGGGGGGAGGGGCAGAGGGAGAAGCAGGCTCCCCGCTGAGCAGGGAGCGGATGCAGGCAGATCCCAGGACACTGGGATCATGACCTGAGCCGAAGGCAGATGCTTAACCGACCGAGCCACCCAGGCGTCCCAAGATAATCCTATGTTTTGTCTCCCTAGAACCTGGGATGGCTCACAGCCCAGGCCCTGCACCAGGTAGCAGACTGGGCATAAAGAGGACCATGCTCTCACACAAGGGTCTGCCCGACTTTAAGGCTCGAAGTTCATCCACAGCAAGACACACGTCCTCATTATATAGCCCACTGCTCAGGACTCGATGGTAGGAAACAGATAGTAAGTTAAATCTATCCTAAAGCACTTACTGATGCCAAGGTTTTTAACATCCTAATTTTGTTTATCTTTGAATTTTTGAGTCTTTGGAGTGCAGCATCACATCCTGATGGGAGGAAGCCAGGAATAACAAGACACACTGTACGGTAAACACCCCACTCCCAAGTCCCTGGTCCCACACGCCAACTGCAGGGAGAGATTTCTATGTGCCTGGGGCTACATCAAAGACGGCATGGCCTCCCCCTTCCTTCTCGTCCATTTCCCGAAACAGTCTGCAGGGAAAGCCCCCCATTCAGGATGCTCTCTATGTGGTGCCTGCCACTCATGAGTTAGAACCTAGGAAAACTCCTTCCAGTCGATTTGGAGGGAAGGCATCTGTGTTGCCTATCTTCCCAAATATCAGGGATCTGGGCCAGCTCATTTGTCATGTGCTTTGACAGAGGAGACCCAAAGATGTGTCGCTTCTACAGCTTGGGAACAGGTGTTGGAGTCTTTACCCAGGCCCTGTCCCTACATCCTTTACAGCGGATTGGCACTTCCATGTCTGGGGAGAAATCCACCTAATATGCATTTCTGTTAACTTGTAAATATTAAAAGAAATATCGTTGTTTTCTGTTTTCCAATTGGTATGTTCGGTGAGCTGGTTGTTTAGCAAACTGCCCCTTGGCAAATTTGCTCCTGGCGAATCAGGCCCAGACACAGCGTCCACCTGACGCATATTCAGGATGGGAAAGTTCTTTCCATTTAGTGAACGTGTTTCTTGGTTTCACAATTTCTTCCCTGTTCACTCAGTTCCATCAGTGACTGTGGTAGGTTCCTTGAGCCGAGCCTTCCATTTAGCGTCCTTTTTGGAGGATGGCCAAGACATCAGAAACCCATTGGAGCGATTCCCGAGCTGCTCGGTTTGTCACATGGCTACCCAGCTCGTGGTCTCCGGATGACCGATTTCTCCACTTGGCCCATGACTGGTTCACGGAGCAGGGAACTCGAGTTAGCTGCTCTGTCAACCAAGTCCGGTGTCAAGAACCCAGAGTCTTTATCTTTAGGCTGGTTTCAGCCGTGCCCTTTCTCGGCAAAGCTGCCTGTCTGGGCTGGACTTGAACCCACGTGTCCTGACCTCCTGGCACTCATCACGCCCACCCTTGTGCCTCGGGACCACATGCCCGGGTCCTGCGGCGGCCCAGGGTCGGGGGGACACTGCAGAAAAGGTTCCTCACAGTCAGGGGCGGCTTTAGTTTTTGCTGCATATTTAACTAACAGCACAGTGAACAAGAGACGAAACCATCAAAAATGATAAGAACTGTAAAAGCCCTTCCCTTCCACCTCCCTCCCAGAATGACTCTTTACATCCCAAACGTATCACCTGCTAGAGCCCTGTTTGCACGGCAAGAGCCAGTCACGGTAAGGCCAGTGGGTGTCACGGTAAGGCCAGTGGGCTTCACTGCGCTTGGCTCAATGTTCATGTGACACAGACTTTCCCCGCCATGGCCTCTCTGCAGCTCACAGCACTGCTCGGCATTGACACCCCCCCAGACAGCCTCCTCCGGTCTGAGAGCGGGTATTCAACGAGCCCACCCCAAGCACATGGCAGGCCCAGTAGACATGGCAGAGAGGGCCAATCCCCCCACACCCCACCTCCCACTTCCACGACTGGCCCTTTCTGAGCAGACAGCATCAGACACTGCTGAATGAGGGGGGCACCCTGACCATTACTGGCCCCGGGGGCCTGGCCTGGGCCACAGGCTGCACGCAGGACCGGGGGAGTCATGGTCCGCATCCTTGTAGGAGCCTTCCGTTTCCAACAGCGTCGAGAGATCAGCTGGGCCTGTCTCCTCTTGGCAATGTGAAATGACCCAAGGAATATGACTTACCTTCACGCAAGAAACACAGGGATTTCTGCGAGACCGCTTCAGCTGTCTAGATGAAGGTGGAGCAGCCCAGCTCAAGGGTCTCTGGGAAAGAGGCTGCCTCTTGGGACCTGGCCCAGGTGGTCCTCCGTCTGCTCCCTGAGAGCTGGGTTCCCCTCCTTCCCATTTATCTGTGTTTCTATATATACTTAAAATAAAAGTCGACAACCGCTGGGTTGCCTGGAGGCAGGGTCTGGTCCATCCGAGGGGAAGGGGATGCTGCCAAGTGGGAAGGCCAGGCTGGCTTTGCTGGCGCAGCTCGTGGCCCTCTGCAGGGCCCGGCGGCCACGGCCAGGGCAGGGGAGCTGCTGTGAGTAAGAGTGAGAGGGCACTGGAGGGTTCACAGGAAGAAAGGAAAGAGAGGGAGGGGCTTCAGCATGTGGGGAAATGGGTCATCAGAAGCAGAGGGAGAAGGGGCGGAGCGCAGGGCGGGCAGCTCTGGCCCCCACTTGGGACCTGGAGGTCGGGTCAGATCAAGGCCTCCTGTGGGCTCCGGTGTGAGGTCTCGAGGGGGCGCCTTAGGGGCTGGCAGTCCCCAGAGGCCAGCAGGGTGGAAGCGGCCTCGTGACCAAACCCAGGGGGTGACCAGGAGCCCACGGCAGAAAGGCAGGGGTGGGGGCGGGGCAGGGGGCAGCGGGAGGCCTTGGCGACACCGACTCGGACCCCTCCCCGCTGACACCGGGGTCGCCGGCCAGAACCACGCCTGTTTCTCTTAGTGGCTTGTCCATTGTTATGGACTTTGCTCTGTGTTGGGACCCAGAGCTCCCCGCACAGCTGGTCCTTCTCTGTCTCCTTGGGGGCCCTGTCTTTCTCTCTCTGGACTCCCTCCTGCAGGGGTCTCCTCCTGCCTGGTGACGACACACTGGGGTCAGTCGAATAACACTCCTCCCACGTGAGAACTGTCCTATGTTCCTGGTTCCCGGGACCTGTAAATATGTCACCTCACCTGGCAAAGGGGCCCCTGCAGATGTGATTAAGTTGAGGATCTTGAGGCGGGAGGTCACCCTGGACTATCTGGGCGGGCCCAGTGTCAACACAGGTCCTTACAAGGGGCAGAGGGAGAAGGAGGACGAAAGCGGAGTGAGGGCTGGATGCCAGGCTGGCCGCCCTGAGAACAGAGGCAGGGCCGGGCACCAGGGAGTGTGGGCGCCTCTGGCAGCTGGGGAAGGCACGGACAGATTCGTCCCTGGAGCTTCTAGAAGGAACTCAGGCCTGCTGACACCTTGATCTGAAGACTTCTACCTCCAGAACCATGAGACATGTACGCATCGTAAGCCGCTGAACTCCCAGTGATTATAGTACACCTGCCCCAGGAAACTCACAAATACCATCTGTTGGTGACAACTCCACACTCCCTTCTGAGCTCCCGGCAGCACATGCGTGTTCATTTGTCCCCTTGATGTCCCACAGGCAACCTAACAGCAACCTGTCTGAAGCCTTTCCTGGTTCCCCCAAACCTGCTCCACCTCGCCTTCCCCAGCGGAGGCAGAGACAACCCATCCTCCCAGCTACTCAGGCCCCGACCCTGGAGTCGCCCGTGGGACTTGCACGACCGGTTGTGGGCAGACTTGCTGGCTCCATCCTCTAAGTACAGCTGACCGTTTCTCGGAGCCCACGGCTTGCGGGGCAGCAGCCAGGTCTCACTGTTCCCCTGCTTGATGGCGGCTGGGACTCCGAAGGTCTGAGTCCCATAGAGGCCCCACACGGCTGGTGCCCCACTCCTCTCCTACCTCCTCTCTGCTTCCGCCTGGAGTGCCTGCCCCCCTCCTCCATGAATCTGCTCGAGCGTCTCCTTCTCAATAGGTCTACCAGCTGCCACGGACACCAAGAAAGGGTCAGAAAGGAGCACGGTGCCCAGCTAAGCGTTACAGGTGAAGGGGGTAAATAATGGCGGTGGGTGCTGCCTCCATCCATGGCTGCCCATTCGAGGATGGGTACCATTCAACACGCTGGAAAGACAGACAGAGCCAGCCTCGATCCTAAAACCCCTCCATCCCGACATTCTGGGTGTTTTCCTATTTCATCACCTCTAGCTCGCCATGTCGTGGCCAAAGCATCACCTGGTTCAGGAGACAACGTGACCCTGAAGCTGGGTCAAGAGGAAATGAAACTATTCAGGGGACACCTGAATGCAGGCTGGAAAGTCAGGTCCCCTCATTTTAATTAGGAGGAAGCCGAGCCCAGAAAGCGGGACGTTTCCCAGCGGCCGGCTTCCCATCCGGTGTCCTGCACCCATGCTTCCCGTTGTCTGCCCGCCCTGGGCGCCCCGCGAGGCCCCTGCAGAGGACACCGGAGTGGCGGGCTCGGCCCCCCACACTTACTCCAGTCTTTCCTCTTCCTTCCTTCTCAGATCAAAGTCCCGCTGAACCACTTCCCAGACGTGCTTGGCCTCTTCGTCCGTGAGCTTGGACAGATCCAGTTTTCTCCCCATCTCTGCTTGTCAGGATCACACCTGGAAAAGACAGGATCACCGGTGGTCACCCCGTGAGCCTGTGGACAGCGCCTAAGCCATAAAGTAAGAGGCAAAACAGAATGTACCGAGATCCCGGGCCGTTTGTCTGGACCTGGGCGGAAGGCTTTACTAAAACAGGCAGATTTGTGTAGCTGAAATGTGTCAGGTTTATATGTGGAATTCCTGCACCCCTGGGACTCACACACTGAGCCACGGGGCCGCTGTCCCTCCACCGTGAGAGAACGCTGGTGATGTCAGTGTCTAGGGGCGTGCTGCTTTCCCCCATCCCAGGGTCGTGCTCTGCAGTGGGAACCCCAGAAATGCTGGGGAAATGCTGGAGATGTGCTCCATCCATGGGCTTTTTGCCTTAGAACCCCTGGTGGAAGCAACACCGCCGAAAAGAGGCAGCTTCCGCCCAAATTCCTGGTCAAGCTGTGGAGTCGCGGGTACACACCCTGGCCTGCTGAGCGGTGGCCCCAATGTGACGTCTGTGAGGTCACTATGTCTGTGGGGGGCAAGGGGGGCGTGCGCATTCTTCCCACGGTGGGGCCGAAGTGCCGGCAGATGAGGGAGTGGCCACCAAGCCCGTGGGCAGCAGGGTCGGCGGGAGCTCGGTTTACCCGAGGGAGGTCGGCCGTGGGAGCGCTGAAGCCCGGGCGCACATTGGTCACCCCGACGCCCGGGCCTCACCCTCCTCCAAGATCCTGACTTCATTCAACTGCTTAACACGGCGGCATTGTGTGACGCCCTGTTTCTAGGTAACCTGCTGGCCAGGAAGGCAGACTTCAGGTGATTTTATGCCCTATTTGTAGACATTAAACCGGATCCCAGTCCATGTTAAAAGGACAGAGGAAGGAAAGTCCAAATGCCAAAAGCCAAGATAAGCAGAACCTTAGAACCTTGCATGCTATTTGGTTTGCCCGGGTGGCTCAGCTGGTGAAGCGTCTGCCTTCAGCTCAGGTCATGGTCCTGGGGTCCTGGGATCGAGCCCCGTGTCTGGATCCCTGCTCAGCAGGTGGCCTGCTTCTCCCTCTCCCTCTACTGCTCCCCCTGCTTGTGCTCTCTCTCTCAAATAAATAAAATCTTAAAAACAAAACAAAACAAGTGTGCCTCACGGACCAGCAGCGTTTCCTGGGAGCTTGCTACAAATGCAGATTCTCAGGCCCTGCCCCAGACCTCCTGATTCAGAATTCGTATTTCAACGAGATTCCCAGGGGGTCATGTTCACACTGGAGTAGGCCGATGTTGCTGGTCCCGGGACCCCTGTGAGCAGCAAAGCTCTAGTGAAGCAGGACAGGGACAGAGAAGGGCTTGGCTGAGCAGAGGATGAGGACGGACCGGCCCTCCTGCTGGCTCTTCCCACAGAGCAGGTACACGGGACTCACAGATGCCGAGGCTGCCATTACTCTGGGTACAACACAGAGGCATCATCACACGAGGGAGGACTTCGCCCGGGGATTCGAGCGCACGGGGCCGGGGGTGCTGCCCAGAGGGGACCACCCTGCTCACCCCTCCACCCCACCATGCCCGTCCTTTGAACATTTCTTTGCCCCTTCTGGTGTGACTGCTGTGGCCACATCTGTCCCTGTCAAGCTCCAGGAGGGACAGAGACTTTGTGTTTTCCCAGTACACAGCAGGTACTGTTCCACGCTCCCAGTGCTCTGGTCCCCTACGAGCTGCACATGGGTGCCCCTCGGCCCGAGGGCGAGGCAGCCACACCCACGCCAGCTCTCCTCTGGGCACCAAGGCTCAGGCGAAGATGCGGTTTGGGTGACCGTTGTGCCGTGGACAACAGAGTTTGAGAACTGCTGTGTGCCTTCGACAAGTCTTCACGGAGGACTGAAATCCGTTTCTCAGGAACGTCAGAGCAGGGGTCCCATCTTTCTGCACTCCCTGGGAATTCTTCAAGCCCATGAAAGACCTGATTTTGCTTCTGAGTTCTGGGGAGCAACTCTCTTCCAGTTCTGCTGACCATTCAAGCGTTCGTCACAGAGAAGTCAACAAAACTTGCTCTGTGCTGGGGATGGACTCTGATTTGTTTCACAAGGGGTCAATTATGACAAGTGACCTTTTCAGGGCAGCATCCACATACCATCTACAATGAAAACTTCCTCAGAGTTCCCGTGGCCCTCAACGAAAGTATTCCCTGACTTCTGCCTTAAATCGGTGAAAAATAATTTCTTAATATTTTTTGCACCAAACCCTCAGTATTTCCCCCTTCAAGCACGATGCTGACTGTGAACGATGCATTCCGAAGTTGCCTTGACGTGCCAGAGTCATTCAAACTATTTTCATTGACAGCTGAATTTAGATTTTGGACAAGAAAGTGTTAAAACGGCATTCACTGTTGCCGTTCTCCTAGAATATATGATTTCTGGTTTTTAAAAAGAAAAAGTTCTTTTTTGATGGATCACTGGGGTTTATTCATTTTTCTTAAACCATTTTTGAAAAAAAGATTGTATCCTAAGAAGCACATTCATTAAAGTTCTCTTTTCAGAGCAGATGAAAGATCTGTGAGCATCAGCTGACTAGTTAGCGCCGTCTCCTCTCCAAAGAGACACAATTCCAGGCTTCCTTTAAGAATCTTAGATG